AATCAAAGTCCACAACGCATTGCCTACGGGGGTGGGTGGGGAGCTCCATACCAGGATGCCACTCCTTGACCTTGACTGGACATCATGGCACGTGCCCGCCAGCGCTCACCACGACGGCAGACGGCCCTGAATCTTCAAAGGGCCCTGCCCTCAGCACCACAGCCATAAGAGACCCTAACTCAAGGGGAAAAACCTGGAATAAGGGCAGGGGCCCAGACCAGCATCTGCAACTCCCATGAGGCCTTAGCCCAGGGCCCGAGGCCCTAGTCACAGGCAATCACAGAATCTGTTGATCAGGGAGTGGCAAATTCTTCACGCCAAGTGAGTGTGACCTTTCCCTTTTCCTTTCATCAGCTCCATGCTAATCTTTGGTAGCTGTCAGACTTTGCCAGGACAAGTCCCACGGATGCCCGAGTGACAGACCAAGCAGCCCTTATCCAAAAACGTTCCCCTATGCAAATTAGAGCCAATGTCCAGAAGACTTAAACACTCCCCCCGCCACACACACACACACACACACACACACACACACACACACAATCATTAACGCCACCCCAACAATAAGACTCCAAAGGCTTCAAGTTTGGTGAGACTCCAGGATCTGCCTGTGGAGCTCTGTCATGAGAGAGACCCCAGTAGGGACATTCAGATGGACAGGTCCTCCACAGAAGCCTGAGACTCGGGCTAGGGTGTGAGGGTGAAGAGCCTTGAAATAAACTTACTGTGTGGGCACTGGGGAGCCAGGGAATGCTCTTGAGCACAAGAATGGCCCGAACGACTGAGGATGTGAGCAGCTTGTGAAGGGCCTGGACAGTCGCGCCGCCTCCTGTCTGTCGGGTGTGGCTCTGGGGCAGGATTCCACTGCTCGCTGGCTGAAATCTGCACTCCCGTGCCATGCCTCTGCTGAAAACAGCACCCACCTGCTCCTTCAAGGCTTGCCCAGAGAGTTCTAAAAGCTACTTCCTCCACAAAGCCCTACCTGAGTTCCTCGACCAGACTCCATCACTTCCTCTCCACGGTATGATTTCAAGTCCAATGCCTGGGAGTTAACCCACGGGAGCCTTGAGGCTGGCCGCTCTGAGAGCAGCAGATGGTGAGGGCACCAGTGGGGCACCTGGCATGGACCGGGTACCCAGTGTCATCCCCTGTGGTTCCCGTAGCCACTCTGCACAGCAGGGTTTATTTCTAACCTCCAACTTAAAGCTAGGGAAACGGAGGCCCAGAGAGGCAGAACCACCCCCCACCTGTGAATGTCAGAGACCAGTCTCGGGTGTGCAAGGTGCCACCAGACTAAGCGGCTTCCTCCCCACACGCTGCCCCACAGAGGCAGGAAGGGTGTGCCTGTGTCCCAGGGCCCCAGAGCCATGATGGGCAGGTGCAGAGCTGAGGCCCCAGAGGTTCCGGTCACTCACTGCGCATGGTCCCACACTACTCAGCCTCTACTGGCGGGACTTCCGTGGGAACACAGCACTGACCTGGCTCCTGGTGACAGACGGGGCCACCACAGGGCCCCCTCCCCCCACTGCAGGGTGAAATGTCACAAGCGTGCTTCTGGAGACTGAGGACGTACCAATCACCCACTTTATGGGAAGTGCCCAGCTGTGGGCAGCTTGGGGCACACTCAACATTGGCAGGCAAATGACACGGAGTAACCAATGGCAGATGACAGATTTTTAGCACACGGGTGTGCACCGATTTTCAGGGAAGGAGCAACTACCTGCATTGAAGGTCAGACATGTCTTGATAGCGGGGATGAGTGGCCACGTAGGCAAGAAGCTAGAAATGGGACTGTCACGGTTCACCTCTCTGGGTCCTCCCAGCACTTACAGCGCTTAAGGCCAGGGCCATCGCCGTTTGCCCCCCACAATGTTCTTCTGTGACAGAAAGAACTAGGGAGCCCAGAGGAAGGCATCCCTGAGTCCATCAAGGGACAAAGGGTCAAGAGCGGCTTTTGAAGGATGAGGGAGAAGCCCCCTTCTCCACCTGCATGCTGGAAAGCAGCAGGGAGACCTTCCAGGTAGCAGGAACAGCAGCGGCAAAGGCTCAGAGGTGGGAATCTGCCTGGGCATGTTTTCTTGATTTTCTTGATCAAAATGAAAGGTTACTTAGCCACGGCAGGTAGGCTGCTTTATGGTATCAGAACCAAAAAATCTGTGTTATAGAACCGGCCGGTGTAAAGATCTCAAAGATAGAGGTCAGAATCACAGTCTTTAATAGCCAAGAGCACTGCCATAAAACCAATAACAGTTCTATGATTATTAATGATAGGAAAGGCTCAGCGATCATTAATACTCATTGAGCAGCTATCAGGTGCCAGAGCACCCTAACTAGCTTACAGGATCCTTACAACAATCCTACTGGGTTCTACCTGCCAGCCAGCTTTGAAATCGATAAAAGCAGATCTCTGTGCTTCATGTGTATTTATAGCTGGATCACCCCTACAGATGTTTAGGGAAAAGATGGCTGGTGTTTCCACAGCACAGCAAAGAGCTCCGTGTCAGAAGTCAGAAATAGCAGGGTGGTGTTGGGCTTCGGTATCTAGGGACTCATGGACACCTCCAGAAGCTTCCACTAGTCTCACCAACACGAGAACCATGTTTAATGTGACTTCTCTTTCTACAATGAGAGGGGTAATCACAGAGGTCTCAAGAGAGCCAAACACCTCAAATGCATTAATCATGGCTACACATCTCCAGTGTTTTCTTGCCTAAAATTCCCTAACCTGAGCAAATCAGCAGACGGAAGCAGATCATGGGTCCGTTCCCCAAGACAACTGGCCTGGACTCTTCAAAATGGCAATCTCCCAAAAGAAAAAAATGGTGAGAAAGAATGTCCTAGATTGGGCAAATCTGGGCCAACCAGACAGGCAACATGGAACGTGACCTTGGGCTGTCTGTCCGATTCACAAGAAAGCTCCGGAGGACGTTTCTGGGACAATCGGGGAAATGTGGATGCTATATTTGAGATATTATTAGTGTACGAATGCTAACTTTCCTAAGGTGTTAAGGGCACTGTTCTCTAGGACAATGCTCTCGTTCCCAGGAGATCAGCAATTTTTTCTTTGGCTGATCCACCTAAATGTTCCAGACCCCACTTCATTCTCCACATACCTCAGCATGGGCATGAGGGCATGGGAAGGGTGGGAGAGGTAAGCAAATGTCACAAAGTACCAAACATTGGGGAGTCTGGGTGACAGGTATACGGCAATTCAGCATGCTGTTCTCTCAACTTTAATCTGGAACTTTCAAAACAGTCGGTGGGGAGAATCATGCAAACAAGATCTCCCCCCACCCCACCCCACCCCCCAACAGCAGCGCCTACCAAGGTGTGCGGTCAAGAACGTACGGGTCCTGGTTCACGTGATGACCTCTGTTCTCGGTGTCACCACATGTCCCTCTCTGTCTCCCCAGCACCCTGCCAAACCAAATCGTTGCTGGCATTCTTTCTGGTGTCCTGACCTTCAAATATGCCCATTGATGGGGGCACCCAGGGCACACGTCTTCGTGGGTCAAATTCATTTTGTGCTAAGTGCTCATCAATCCCACCCAAGCTGTCCCGTCGTGTTATGGGACAGTAAGAGGTCTGGGAAGGTCCTATGACTTCTGGGGGCCCAGCGAAGCAGCAGGTATGCACCAGGTCCCTGCCCTGCCAACCCTTCCTCTACTGGGAGGCGTCCAGAGTCCCACACAAGCCATTACCGGAGGAAACCCACATCAGAGCCCCAGCAGCAGGCCTGCACGTGACACGCGCCCAGTCTGACACCCCTCTTGGAGCACTTCAGAAGGTGGTACCCGTCACACTAGTAGAATGGATGCATTCCAACACAGACCTCAGACCTCATGCCTCTGTGGATGCCCGTAACTGGTATCTTAATTAGGGCCAATTATTTAAAAAGACTGCGTAAAGAAATAGGGCCATAGACCTCAGTGGTGGGTGGCTTTCCTCCTCTGATCATCTGTGCTCTTACCTCCCTCTCCAAGTCAATGTGCGCACACAGTGAACGCCCTCTAACCCGTTCCTTCCAGCTGCTAGTGATCGTTGCTAGGAATCAGGATCCACAAGGCTTTCAGATCTAGGTGAGGCAGAGAAAAACGACCTCCTAGACTTATTGGTGGGTTTCTGAGTTACTGTCCAGACGGTTCCCCACTCAAGGCCCCTTGCACAGAGAAGAAATAGCCAAGGTTCTGCAGTCACCCTCCCCTTTTTACAGATGGGGTTTCAGCACCTGCAAAGGTGGGCCTCCTGGCCAACAGCCTGGGTCCATCCGCTTCCTCTCCCAGTGGGGATCTTTGGGCTGCAAATGACCTGCTGTGATCATGCCCAGTGCAGGCAGCTCTTCCCCATCAGTGATGCACGGCAGGAGCACAACAGATGCTGCAGGGAGCACCGGGCAGCTGACTGCGCTGAAGGGTCTGCTGCCTGGGTTTCAAGACAAAGGGGTGTGGGTGGGAAGAGACCCGATCCCAGCTCCGGGGCTAAGCAGGCATCTCAAAAACCCAGACAGTGGGTTCACTCTGAGGTAAATGAGAGTCTAACAGTCCCGTGGTGTGATAGCACCTTCCACCCAGCAAGGGTGTGGTGAAGAGGGAAACAGGGAAGGTCTCTAGAAAGCACCCAGACCTGTTTGGGACCATTAGGGCCACTGCCCACCCCGTCTTTGGTGGAGTGGATGGATTAAGATCTCCTAGGCGGAAAACGTTCGAGCAAGAGTCCAAAAGCTCTTGAAGGATCTACAAGGCATATTGACTTTTAGACCCTGCTTCTAGAACTGGGTGGCCAGCCAGTCCCCTGTCTCAGCTCGTCCTAACTGAAGCTGAAGCCTGCCTCCAAACTCCTGTGACTTCTCCCCTTCGCCGAGTGGGCACTGCTACCTGGAAGGGTGTGAGAAGCCTGACTCCGGAAAGAAGTCACCAGGCATGAGAGGGAGGAACAGAGACTCCTTGAGGTGCTGAGGGACCTTGGGGGTATAAGCAACAGCAGTGACCGAAGAGCCAGAAAGAAAGCAGGAGAAACCCACAAGAAGACCAAGGGCCTGGCTGGCTGACCTGAGATGCCAGCTCACTCTTTCTGCACCTCAACTCTTCCCCCACCCCCCGAAAAATGAGGGATCTCGGTGAGGTGACTCAGACTAAGCTTCCTCTTGGCTTTTTGAGGATTCTTGTGCTGACTGAGCAGGTCTCAGGTGCCCAAGCCCTAGATGGAGAGTCCTCAGACCCATTTTATTGGAAGAGAAGGACCCTGGAGGCCCTTGACTCACTGTCCCCAAGAGAGCACCTCATTGGTGCGCATGGAGAACTCCTTGGCCAGAGACCACGGTAGCGAACCGCTGGGCCATCACCTAAGAAAGAGATGGCCGTCACAAAAGAAGCAAAGCTAGGTTCCCCTCTGTCCCCTCAATATACCAGCATGAAAAAGGATGTTTAACTTTGGAAGAGAAGACTCACTGATTGTCCTTCAGAGGGCTGAACAGTCGCCAAGGACAGAGAAATAAGAGGGATATGGCAGGACAGGTTCCATGCTGCTTCCAATATTTAAGTTGGTGGTCATCACTGAACAGCAAAAACTCCATCCTACGATCCTTAATCCTATACAGAACAGTCAACTCTATGGAAATATAGAATATGGAATGTTTTCCCAATCTCCCCAAGAAAGGAGGAGCTCTCTGTCACTGGAGGCATTTAAGTAGAAGGCCACTTTAAATGGATATTTGAGTCCGGAAACCAGCTCTGAATGAAGAGTTGAGCCCATGCTCCTCTGACTCCAGAGTCCTGGTGCACCTACCTGTGGACAGAGAGGCAGGTGCCCTCAGTAGAGGGTCTAACGAGGACACCGTGGTGTGGTGTGGTGGGGTCCGCTTCCTGGACCAGGACCAGCTCTGGGACATTGAGCAAACCCCTCACCCTCTCAGTACCTCAGTCTCCTCTCTAGATCAAAGACCTCTGAGGACACACCTTACAAAGGTTTTGATGAGAAACCTCACACTTCTTCTAAGCGGACTCCTCCAATACATGAAGCACTCTGCAAGGATGGGCTAGTATTTTCATACCCGTGACCCCCTATCACCAAAAATTTCTTCCGATGGGGAAAAAAAATTAACTGCTTCTATTTTCTGGACAAATTTTTATCCCTAAAATATGCATCTATTCAAAATGAGTGCATTGAGACAACCTTGAAGGTTGAGAACGGTCTATTCTGGCCTCGAGAGGCTGTGGTTCCCGGACCCCTTCCTCAGGCTCTGTGTCCTGACGCAGGCGCCATTTTCAACATGTGACATAAACACTGCAGTATCTGCCTCTTTGGAGGAGCCTGCACTGCTGCATTTCAGTCCAGTGGCCCAGGTGCTTGGGACTGGTGGCATTTAGTGCCCTCTCCTTTCAGGAAGCTTGAAGGTCCACTCTTTCTAGGGAGATCCTCCCTTCTGGGAGATCCCACGGGGCCTCCCACTGCTGCTTCTGGGCAAAGCAGTTAAAGCCCTTTTCTATCCAAGAGCCGTGACCTTTGAGTTTATGTAGAAGCCATGGGAGGATAGGTGAGTTTTACAAATGACAGGGGTGGTGGCCAGGCAAATGAAAGGCACCAGACTTTCCTTTACTCCTGTCATTGAAAAGGCCTGCAACATGCCATATTCAATGACCTAGTTGCCCCCAGGAGACGAACAGGCCTTCCCATTGAGCCATCTAAAGGGAGGGTGGGGAGGAATTTCTCCACTCCTCAGGAAAACCATCCCTGGAGATCGACAAGTTCCCAACAGGCCAAGACACCACCCTTACCTCCAAACGCTTCCTGAGACCAACACAGACTTGCCCTTATTTACAAATCAAATGCAATTAGAGACCGTCTTTCTTGAACTACATACATACATATATATATATAGTTTTAAACAAGGAATGCCCTGTCATTTTTTTATTAGGAAAAGAAACCACATCCACGAATACCCATTCTCATCCAAGCATCCCACACTGTGATTCTTACTTATGCAGATCGATGCTGCATAACCCACCATCACCACCATGTAAGTGAGAGGGAAATAACAAAATAGGTTCTCTGAGGTTCCAACAATTTTCCAGTTTCCCCTGACGCTTCCAGTTGTGCGGTAAATTGTTGGAACTGGAGATGATAAAATTAAAAATGTCTTTAATTCGTATTATTCTTGGCTTTTGATTAATTCTGCTGCTAGTTCTGTTTTCTTGCGTTGATAATGCATACCAGTTTTAACAAAGTGCATGCTTTTAAAAAATTTTTGAACTGGCAAGCTAAGATGATCCGTATCTTCCTTCCCACCCACCCCCGAAAAAGAAGTTAATATAATTTAGAACGTAGCGTCTAAAGAATATGGTCATGACACATCTGGGATAGGGCCTGCTTATGGAGCATGCTTGATTTGGCAGAATGGTAAATCAAAAGCCTCGTGGGTTTTGTTTTCCCATTTTTGTTTGGAAGCAGCTGAAAGCAGGTTCTTAACAGAACTGTGTCGTGGAAAAGAAAAATTAATACCTGCCACTTTCCGCTTTGTCACACGATACACATACACACACACACACACACACAGGTACACGGGCGTGTGCACTCACTCACACACCATCCGCGCACGCACACCCACCCAGTGCTCGGGAGGACGAGAGGGAGGAAGTTAGGGCAGACACCACGTCGGTGGTCCCTGGCCGGCTGGCAGCCTGGGGGGCAACTTTGGGTCGGATATATTCTCTCAGCTCTGCCTGGTGGTCTTGGTCTCACACCTGTCCTGGGAGAGCCACCCCAGAGGTGGGGCAGGCTGGGGAGGGGTGTAAGGCATTCTTCGCTGGGAAGGAAGGGAGGAAGGAATCCATGCTTCATGCTCAGACGCGAGTCTCAGAGGGAGTCGGGCCTTTCTCTCCCCTTGGGCCTGCTCTGTCTCGCCGGGGGCGGTGGGGGAGGACGAGAAACCTGGGGGGGGAGGGAAAAAGAAGGAGGGAAGGTAATCGTGACCATGACCATCACAACCAAGGATGCCCGGAACGAATAAATGAGAACGAAAAGACGAGGTGGGCCGGTGGCACTTGACGTCACGGAGGACAAGCGACTTTTCCCGCCTGCCCGGCATGCCCCGCACCCTAAACGGACTTCCGCCGTCGCATCAGCCTGTGGTTGTCGGTAAAGCTGTGTAACCCGGGGGAGGTGGAGCTGATGGGGGAGGGGAAGAGGCTGTTTTTCAACGTGCTTGGTGAGATCTCCTCGATCTTGTACGAGATGGAGTGGAAGTACTGGGGGGCGAGCTTGGCGCTGAAGGAGTTCTGCTGGGCGGCTGGGCGGCCCCCGTACTCCTGCGGGCGGTAGCAGGTGCAGGAGCACACGTACTGCAGGTCCGGCGCGTCCGCCTTGTAGCGGGGCCGGCCCTGCCGCGCCTCCTCGGGGATGTGGATGACCATGCTGTTGCGGTTCCCGGCCAGGGACGCCCTCTCCTCGGCGTCCCGTCGCTCGTCCTCGCTGTTCATGGTCAAGAACCTGAGGACCACCAGGTTGAGGAAGGCGCCGATGACCGTCAGCCCCACCAGGATGTACATGAAGCTGAAGGCCACGTAGAGCGGCTTCTTCTGCAGGGCGCCCTTGGTCTGCAGGGCCACGTAGTCCCCGAACCCGATGGTAGTCAACGTGATGAAACAGTAGTAATAGGCGTGGAAAAAACTCCACTCCTCGCACTGGGAGAACGCGGCCGCGCCGATGCACAGCGTCCCCATGCAGGAGAAGAAGCCCACGGTCACCATGTTCTCCATGGACACCTCCGTGTTGCGCATCCCGCAGCACCTCTTGATGCGCTTCAGCAGGTAGCGCACAAAGGTGTTCATCCGCTCGCCCAGGCTCTGGAACATGACCAGTGTCAGCGGGATGCCCAGCACCGCGTAGAACATGCAGAAGGCCTTGCCCGCGTCGGTGCCCGGGGCCGCGTGCCCATAACCTGAGGGGAGGGGTAAGAAAACAGGGAGAAGGCGTGAGGCGAGGCCCCATGAGCTCTGGGGTGGGGTCGCACTTGGGCACCTCCGTTGGGGTGGGGCTGGGACAGACAGGGAGGGAGAGAGGAGGACGAGGGGGAGCCGGGGAAGAGAGGTCGCTGGAGGCTGGGGCTGGGAAGACGGTGGAGGCCGGGAGAGGGGGGGAGAGGAACAAGGAAGAATTGGTCAAGGGTCCTTTGCAATTCAGGGGTGGGGGGGGGACTTGGGGGCGGTTCATCTGGGGCCCTTCAGAGGGGCGCGGAGGGCCTTTCCCTGCTCCTCTTAGAGCAAAGCAAAGCTTGAAAAGGAGAAGCCGCACCCCCACTAACGAGAAGACTGCAGAAGGAGTGAGCCCAAGGGAGAATATTCCATATGCCCACCATGCGACACCAGTGCCGCTGCCTCTCTGCTGAGTCCTGGTCCTACGGTGCCTCGTTCTGACCTCCTAACAACCTTCCAAGCCCAGCACGACGAGTCCAACACCAAGGGCGGGAAAACGGAGTCAGTTACTTCATAGCAGGATAACTTGATTTCTTCAGAGCTGGGATTTGAGCCCAGAGTTTTCAGGCACCAAGAATAAGGTGGATGTTGACAAGAGGAGTCATTGCAGAGTGGAATATACACACCATGACAGCAAAGACTCGTATCCGCTTTGTTCACGGTTAGATCCCCGCACCCCCACCCCCACCCCCACCCAAGGTGATAGGTAGCAGGTAGAATATTGAACAAATGAAGGAACAACATTGTGCCACTGTGTGAATGGAGGCTTCTCAGGAACGAGGGGACCAAAGAATCCTTCCAGACCTCCCATGTGTAAGTGCTTCTCAAACTCTTCCTGCAACTTCATCCATCCCGTGTCAACTTTACAGAGTTGAGCTGTATTTTCCTCACATTCTGAATGACGATGGCAGTGCTTGAAGGGTGAAGGCACCTGCCAGGGTCATTCAGCTAGTTAGTGATCATGTGAGAGCCAGGATAGGGTCCGCACAATATGGCAGAAAGAACATGAGACTCGGTAGGCTCTAGTTCAAATTCTGGAACTAATACTGTCCAGGAAAAAAAAAAAACAAACCAAACCCTGAATCCTGGGGCAGTATTTCGACTGAGACCTTCCAACATGTCAAATCCTGCCCCATCAAGAAAGGCTTCCCTGATGTTACCCCGAGCCATTATGGGCCCATAGCTCTTTAATCATGTGCACTATCTTGGGCACCAACCCTTCCCAACCCTGGTTTCTTCGTGTTACTATCATCCCATGTAAGTCCCAGTCCCCACTGGGACTGGGTTGTGCAGATCTGCTGAGTCAGCACCTAGTCAGGGCCTGGTACCTCCGTAGGGACCAACCAGGCCCCAAGACCTTCACCTGCCCCTTCTCCCCCCTAGGAAACCGTCTGACTACTCAAGTCCCCAGCTCTCTACCAGGGCCACATCACTTAGGGCCAGCTTGTCTGTCTCTCCCCTGGCATGAATCTGTGCGTGCCCTACCTGCCCCAAGGGCCCTAATCTTGCTAGAGCAGTGACCTCCTATGCTTGCCTCCAGGGCGCCTTCTCTTCATCCTCTCTGGCCCTCAATCCCACTGGGCCAGCACGGAGCTCCAACCCCTCAGAAACCCCATCGTCCTTGCACAAGAGGGAAAACAACAGGACAAAGTTGGAGTCAGGCCAGAAAGGCTAAAATGGGAAAGAGAAAGCCGAGGGGGAGAGCGACCAAGATAGTAACAGAAATCCAACCTGAAGAACAGAGCAAAAGCAGATTAAAAATAAATTCTCAAAGCCTCAGAGACCTTTAGGAAAATATCAAAAGGCATCCCAGCAAGACCAAAAAAAAAAAAAAGTGAATAGCCAAAATGGACCAAATTTGGTGAAAGACACATATTTACAGATTCAAGAAGCCCAGTGAACTCCAAGCGGGAGAACTACAAAGAAAACCAGCCATCAGAGCCAAACTGCTAAAAACCAGAGAGAGAAGTCTTGAAGGCAGCCAGAAAGAAACAAGACATCACACAGAAAACCATCTCAATACTCCTTCTAATCATAAGCAATAGGAGCCAGGAAACCGTGAAAGAACATCTTTAAGGAGCTTGAAACAAACAAAAAAAGACTGGTAACTTGGAATTGTGCATCCACAGAAAACAGCATTTAAGAGTGACGTCAAGGGACACCCAAGGTGGCTCCATCAGTTAAGCGTCCGACCTCGGCTCAGCTCATGATCTCACGGTTCATGAGTTCGAGCCCCACACCGGGCTTTCCACAGTCAGCACGGAGCCCGTTTCACATCCTCTGCCCCCCTCTCCCTCTGCCCCTCCCCTGCTTACTCGCTCTCAAAAATCAAATAACAAAAATAATTCTAAAGAATGAAGTCAAAGCACATTTTAACATGAAAGAAAACTTGTTCCCAGTAGATCTGCACGGCACAATTACTAAAGGAAGCTCTTCTTCCTAGAGGGAAAGGGTACCAGATGGAGGCTTAGGTCTTCAGGAAAGAATGAGGCACATCTCGGTAAACAAGTGGGTTTATATTTATACAAAATGCAGGGGTGGGAGTCCCACTATGTCTCCATATAGCTCACCTGCGTGGCAGATACCAAAGCCAGATGGATGGTGGGGAAACAGTAGATTGTTGGACACGTAGAAAGGTGGTGATGTTAGCTGATGGCTCTGGATGCAATCTATTTACTAGAGGAGACCAATGATGCATCTGCTGGGTCAAAAGCTGCTCATGGGGTTCCCGGGCCCCACCCACACCTGTCAGCAGTGATGGTCAGAGCCGTTTCCTTCACGTGGCCCCGGGGAACAGCAGCCCCAAGCCCGTGGCAGGGTCGTTCGGTTCTCCGGCCATCTGTCCTGCTGCATAATGAAAGCACTTCTTCATTCTGGCGCCCCCACGGCGTATCCCGCTGCTCCGTTACAGTGGTGACACACAGCAGTCAGGTGCAGGTGTCGCCGAGTGTGGGAGATGGATGCCCCCAGAGGTCAGGACCTTCCGAGGAGGAGACAGCCAGGCAGGACCTCTTCAACACCCTGCTGCCTGGCTTCCAGTTAGGTCGCCAGGAGGCCAGAAGACGACCAGGACCTTGGTCATGAGCCTCATCTGCCAGCAGCCTCACAGCCTCGAGCCACTCTCCACAGTCCCAGTAACGCAGACCGCACCCTGCCAGGGAGCCACGCCCTCCCTGGTGGCTTTCCCTCCGCCAGACTCACCCTTTCCAGAAGAGTCTATAAACAGCCCATTAATTGATTGCTCCAACTGAGAGTGCTGCTTCCTGCACAGGCTCCAACTGACACACCGCATGTATTCTCCACCGGACCCGCTTCCTGTCTCTGCTGTGACACAACACTACAACCAGGGGTACAAATAACCACGTGTGCAAGTAAAGTACGCACAAGCTATCTGTGGAACACACAAGGGCAGCGTCTACGGGTACATCACACAGGACGTCCACAGCACAGACGGGAACTTTGTGACCAGCGTGAACGTGTACGCGGAACGGGACCCATAACCACCTGCGTTACACCAATACCCAAAAGGCACATACGATATACTCCTAGCACACCCGCGTTCAAGGACACGTCCTATGTGCAATATGTGTGTGTAGAGTCACTCGATGTGCAGGACGGGTACACCCTGTTCCTGTATATGCTGCAGGGATTACATGCAGGGATTTGAAATTCAACAGCATCCACGCGATCGGAGTTACACGTATGAGAGGAAAGGAAAGGAAAGGCCATCACTCCTTCCCCAGAGAACGAGGCATAAGTCTCTGGGGTCTCACGGAACCTGTGTGACAGTTCAGGCCCCGAAAGACGGGGTTTTCCGTCCATGCGTGAACGAGTGCACCCGGGCCTCCCTGGGTTGGGCGCCATATTCATTCAACGATTCATGTGTTTTCTGTCCAGACTGGTGACTGCGCACCAGGGCCTGTGCTTGTCACGGGGGATCCACAGGGACTTCTCCCAAAATCTCCCAAGGGGCTCTAGCCAGCCAGCCTGGGCCCAGGGCCCTGCCCAATGCCTGGCACGATGGGTCCTGGGAAGCTGAGGGCACATGGGTGTCCAGGCCACCGAGGACCTCCAGGCTGAGCCACCCCTGTCCTCCTTGATCATTTCCCGTCCCCCAACCCCTGGTTAGGACCAGTCCTGGCAGCTCAGGAGCCACATCCCCGTCCAGGCTTTCCCACTAAGTCCCCAGGCTCCCCACGCACCCGGGCCAGTTCCCCCTCCGCCTCTGCGCCCTGCAGAGGCAACATAACGTCAGAAATCCCACCGAGGACTACACTGCCCACCCCCCTCCTCCCCCCCCCCCCCCCCCGGCGTATGAATAACCCATCCTTCTGGCAAAGCAGTGTCAAAAAATGATTGACACGGCATTCAGGAGGCGTGCACAAGGCCCAGAAGAGATACCAACACCAGGTATCCGGTGCCTGCCTCTGGGCTGCGGGCCTGTGACCTCTGCAGGGTCACTCAGTTCACTAGATGGAGGTGGAAGAGGAGGCTGAAAAGGGGACAGTAGACCAGCCTGCAGCCGCCCTGGAGAGGCGGGGTCATCATGCCCCAGCCCTGCAGGTGACCAGCGCTGACCAACACCCAGAGCTCACGAGCCGGAGCACGCACTACTGGGTGCAAACCTCCCTGTGCACAGGGGCACAGCCGCTCATGCTGTCCGTCCGCACCCGGCCGTGCCTCCCGCAGACTTTTCCATGTGTGCAGAGTCAGGGACGGACTTGCTTGTGGCCCCAGCGCTGGCCCTGACAGGCTGCTTGGGTGGCTGCCGGGTGTGGGGCCAGCCCTGGGGCCTGCTCACAAGGACGGCGCCCAGTCTGAAAAGCCTCCCCGGTGCTGCACCCCAAACACCATGCTCCCTGAGTTCCCAGGCGCTGAAGCTCCGACGAGTCACCCGTGAGCCCGTCTGAGGAGGTGACCCATCCTAACCTCCCCAGCCCTTGCCGCATCCTCACCCCCAGCACCCGCTGTAGCCTTAGCCTGCCGACCACTGCCAAGGCTCTACCCCCGCATCTAAGGTGTTTGTGCAGTGCCATGGGGTGCCTGGGGCTGGCCAGGAAAGAGATGAGTGGCCCCGGGTCGAGTTCAGTCCCCACGCTGTAGAGGCTCAAGGGTTCCTGGCCCAGCACAGGAGCTGACAAGGACACAGACTGGAATCG